CCCTAAACCCTAAACCCTCGAAGCATAGCAACAGAAAAACCCTCAGGTTGAAAGGGGAAGGCTCGGGAACTTAGGTTAGACTTTGAACAACCCGCGCACCCAAACCCTAAGGGACCATGTACCCAAATAGTTTAGGGGTCCTTTAAGGGCTCCTTTAAAGGGTTCTAGAAGGGTACCATAAGGGTTTAGGGTAGTTTAAGGGTCCATGTACACAAATAGTAGAACATTGGCCCTAAAGTACCCAAAGAGGGACTACATTAAGGCCAATGTTCTACTATTTGGGTACATGGACCCTTAGGGCGAAGGAGTATACGTGAAACTATAGACGGTCTTACAGAAATATTATGGCTTCAAACTAAGGAATATATACCTTCAGTTATTGGGGCCTGCATATAATGGTTTACGGTATACTGCATTATTCGAGGGGTATTGGGCCCTATATACGAAACAAGAAAACCCTAAACCCCAAAGTCCAGGCAACGGCAACTAGAGAGACCCGAGCGGCCTCGCTCGTCGCGTACCGTTCGTCATCTTCTACAGCTTAGGGCTTTAGGGTTTAAGTCCCCGATATTGTACGGCACCCTTATAAAAAGAACCCGAAAAGGGACCCTAATTTGGAGAACTACCTGTATAGGGCTCTTAATAAAATTGGAGCAATATGGTTTCTGTAAATGGATTCGTTATAAAGTGGGTTCCAGAAAGTAGCGGATTCTCTGAGGGCCTTCTGAGGGGTTTTATGAGGTTAGTATAGTGGCCGCATTAATTAGAATAGCTCTTTTTGAGGGGGGGGGGGGGTACATTATGCTGTAACTGTCCTGAGGAACCCTGTATATTGGAATAATGCGACTCATTATTCCGATCACCACAGGCCCTACACTATTATGAACTTCAATATGCGCCCAAGAACACATAACAATACACCTAACATACACTTTTTTGACTAATATCTCTGCAAGGAGCAGGTTTCAGCAGTTCATGCTCAGGTGCCTTTCTGGGCTGTATAGTTCAAGTGTGGCTTATAACTCAGGACATTGACGAGGACAGAATGAATGACTCAAGCACCGAAGTTAGCAGCCCGAATTGCTGGAGCAGTGTTTTGGTGCATGGTGTAATACGGCTGCTGATCTAAATCCTGCATTACCCATAGCAAGGAATATACCATAATTCCCATAGGTTAGGGTCCTTACGGTAATGCAGGATTTATATCATCAACCGTACAACTACGTAGGGAACACAGAGGAGACTAGCTGAAGCTGACTCGCCTCAAGCCCTATACGCAAAACCTTAAAGCCTAAACTCCAAACCCTAAGTCTAACCACCGAACCCCAGACCTAATTGCCCAAACCGCACCGACGGGCCACTCTCGGAGCTCGGAGACCAGCGATTCGAGATCGCTGCTTTGATTGAGACCTTGCAGGATTAGGGTTAAGGCTTTGAGATTCCAAGTCTTAGAGGGTTTAAGGTAGGGTTTCGGGGTCAGGATTTACGGAGACTATAGGGCTTGCCTCAAGGGTCCGTGTAGCTAGAAAGTTTGAACTTGGCATGGGTAGGGCCCTCGCACCTTCGCAGTCCTAGCCTCCCGGCACCAGCAGGGCTTTGTCCGGAGACCGAGTGGGGTCCTCGTGCTGCTTGGCCTTCTCGTGGTCTATTGTAGGGGCCTTAACAATCAGAATCGGGTTCTGCGGCCCATTCTACTATAATTATAATAAGGACCCCCCCCCCACAACAAAAATAAAAAGAACAAATAATATATATATATATAGAGAGAGAGAGAGAGGTAATTTTTTAGGCCCCTGTATTACGCCGGCCCGCTGAGGCCTGAGCCAGACCTGGAGAAACTTCCGGTCCCCTAAAACCCTGAAGCTTACCAGCACCCCCCAAGTAGCCTTTACTGGAGCCCTTATGGTCCTTCATAGTGGGTATCTAGGCCTTAGCGGCTAGGGGCTAGGCTTGAGTGCTGTGTGGTAACCCTAAACCCTAAACCTTAAACCTTAAACACTAAACCTTAAACCCTTAACCTTAAACCCTAAACCCTCGAAAGAGCCGCCTGACCCCAATCTCAAGCGCTCACCCTGGCTCTCGTGATGTAGGGGCCCTAATAATTAGAATAGGGTCTTGGGGTGTGACCTCTTCTTCTAATTATTAAAATAGAATATACCCCAAACCCTATTCCAATTATTAAGGCCCTAGATTACATATTATATTATAGTCGAATATACCCCAAACCCTATTGTAATTGTTAAAGCCCCTATATTACACCAACACGCCAGAGTCGCCACTCTGCTGCTGCCAGCTGCTAGCACTCTTAAGGAGACTCGGATAGAGGTACACGGACCCTTGTGCTATATCGCTAAGGGTCCAAGTGCCCAAATCGATATACTGTGGCCTTAAGGTAGTCCCTATATATGTACTTTAGGGCCAATGTATATACTATTTGGGTACATGGACCCTTAGGGTATCCTAAATCTTCAGACCTTCCTAGAAACGTTTGTGGAACCCCCGGTTAGTATAGGCACATGGACCCCTAGCTTTGGAGCCCTCCAGACCCTAAATCCTAAACCCTGGACCCTAAACCCTGGCTGGAGATCTGACGCCGTTTTAGAGCTTCACGGCTTATGGGGTGCCAAGGGCTTTGACGGTGTAGGGTTTCAGGACCCGGAGACTTTTAGGATCTCGGATTCTACGGCTTTTAGGTGTTGAGGTGAGTTTGGGCTTTAGGGTTTCAGGGTTAGGGCGGTTTAGGGGTTTAGGGGTTGTAGCCCTAGGACTGTAAGGACTCATAAGGCTTTTGGGCCCAAAGACCCTATTTTATAAGGCTTTTGGGCTATTTTGATGCTAAGGGTATGGCTTAGAACCTTCAGCTCAGAACTTACGCCACAAATTTTTACCTGCAGGCCCAGCCCTGAGCTGAACTGGAGAGCGATTTAGGATGGGTAGTTTAGGGTTTAGGGGTTTAGGGGTTTAGGGTTTAGGGTTGAGGGTTGCGGGTTTAGGGTTGGTTCTACAAAGTTTTGTGGATTGCGCTTGAAACTGTGTGGAGTTCCGACGTTTGGGGGTTTAAGGCTAAGGTTGTGGGACCCAAAGCCGTGATTTCCGTACTTGCCCGGGCAATCTTGCTGCCATGGATTGCGAACTGTGCATCCCAGCTTTAGGTCTCCAGAGTTGCGGGCTGGGTTTAGGGCTTAAGGTTATGAAGATTCGGACTCTGATGGATTGATTAACCGATCAACACTAGTGGATGTTGAGGATGGCTATGAAAGAGAGGATAGCCACCACATGCATCCGACAATTGAGCCCTTCTTAAACGGTAGACACTCGTAATTACCCTAAAGCAACCTACCAAAACTGAAAGTCTATAATAGAAGCCGGCCACAAACTAGGCTAAACCCTAAGCCCTAAACCCTGAACCCTAAACCCTATACCCTAGCGTCCGGGGAGAGTGCCCAGGATTTGTGGCCGCACAGCGATGATCCTTGTTGCTCGAGGTTCTTTCGGTTTAGGGTTTAAGGGTTTAGGGTCTAGAGTTTATGTACTAAGGCTTCATGTTTGGAGTTTGGACTCTCCCTAAACCCTAGACCAGACTCCTAAACCCTTACTAAAGTTTGGAATCTCGGCGCTGGTCTAGGGTGCAGAGCTGATGATTCAGGATGCTTCAGGATTGAGGGTTTGTTCAGCTAGAAGCCAACCATCTGTCTGCGGTACAAGCCTTTGTTGAAGAAGGGTGTAGACGCAGTGCCGCTCTAAACCTCAAGGCGTCTGCCTTTTGCTAACATTCTGAGAGCCTAAAAACTCTCACACAGTGAGTCCCTGACCCGCAACCCTCTCAAGCCCGTGACCCGAAGCCGCCTACTATAGGGGCTCGAATAATTAGAATAAGGGTTTGGGGGTATAACTATACTATAACTATGATAAGGAACCCACCAAAACCCCATTCAAACTATCAAGGCCCCTAGATTACAGCTCAAAAGAAACGAAACGCCTTCTCTGGTAGGGTCTTTGGGCCCAAGAGCCTTAAACACTTTGCGATTTAAAGTAGGGTTATGGATCCTTCCCTGTGACCCCAAACCCTACAAAATGGTAGGGCCCCTGTAATAGAGGGCAGAACCCCTAAAAGCAGAAGGATTTCAGATCCTCAAAGCATCAGCCCTAAACCCCAAAAGAACCGAAACCCCGAACCCAAAAACCTAAACCCCTGAACCCTAAACCCTTAGGCCTGAAAGCCTCAGCCAAGAATCCGCCCGAGCTGCTTGGAGGTTAGACCTGCGTGTAAGAGCTTCGGGTCCCAGTCGGCTTCAAGTGGCTTTAGGGTTTAGGGGTTTAGGGGTTTAGGGTTTAGGGGTTTAGGGTTTGGGGGTTTAGGGTTTAGGAGTTTCGGGGTTAGGGTTTAGGGTTTAGGGTTATAGGGTTTCTGGGATTATAGGATGTTATAGGGTTTATAAGGTTATGGGTTTATTAGGATGTGGCTTCAGGGATTAGGGTTTAGGGTTTAGGGGTTTAGGGGTTTAGGGTTTAGGGCTATAGGGTGTTATAGGGTTTATAAAGTTATAGGGTTTGGGGTTTATAGGGTTTAGAGGTTATAGGGTTTACAGGGCTTAGGGCTTATAGGGCCTATAGGGTTATGTGGTTATAGGGTTTAGGGTTCATTCTTGGCACTTTGGGGAAGTGGCTGTAGGGTTCCTTAGATGGCTTCTATATAAATGAACGAATAAATAAATAACTATATATATATATATATAGATCCTGAAGAATGTTGGTTCTTTGGGCAAATGCTAGGGTTTAGGTTTTGGGGATTTCGGGTTTCAGCTTTACAAAAGGGTGTATAGAAACATACTAACCCAAAGGCTCCATGTAGCAGATACTTGAGCCCAAAAGTACCCACATAGGGACCTGTTTGAGGCTTAAGTATCTACTATAAAGGTACATGGAGCCTTTGGGTACGGAGTCCCTGTCGAGTTGAGTCTGTGCGCTGAGAGGCGGACGCGTTCTGTGCAAGCGCACGTGAGTACCTTGTATATGTGAGCTTGGGGTTTAAAAGTTTAGGGTTTGGGGTTTAGGGCCCATATGCATCTCTTACGTGTGCAAGCACAACAGATGCGCCTGGCTGAACATGTTTCTAAATAACCCGAAACCCATAAACCCTAAATTAGCCCTTAACCCCTAAACCGCCCTAA